TTTTTTTTTTTTTTTTTTTTTTTTTTTTTCAAAATCCACAGCAATTGTGTGAACCGCCACAACAGTAACAAAGTAAAGATTGAGGTGTTTGTTCTTTTACTTTCATGACAGCACACAGAAAGGGGGACTTCCACAGTCATACACTTACAATGGGGAGAGGAAAAGGAAAAAATTCCAAGTAATTTGGAATAATCGAGCTGACAGAAAGGAAAAGCTCCTAACAGGCCCCTAAGAGCAAGTAGTGTCCTACATATTTTAAGTAAGTAATTTTGACTCTGACTAACCTTCGGATATGCATGGCAACTAGGCAGGTTTTTCTTTGTTGTTGAAAACAATGAGAAGGGTCCCCAGTATTGCCAGACAGAAATCCACTAGGATGGAATGTCCTGTTTAGAAGCATGGCAAATTAGGAGAAATCAACCTAAAAAACCCCCACTAAACAGCATAAGTGTTTTCAAAATTTCATGTTAGACCTTTCGGTCTGATTTTTTTTTTTTTACCATTGTCATTTTCCCTCACCCAAAGGAAAATTCCTGTTTCAGACAAAACGGCCCACAGGATGAGTCGTCCTCCTCACCAAATCAAAGCAACATTTCCAGGGAATCTTTGCCCGGAACGGAGTCTGAGGCCATAGTTTCACAAGTATTTTTAGCTGCCTTACTCTGGCACAGCTGTAAAATCAGCCACCCGGCATTCATCCCACTTACCCCACTTCTCTGTCCCTGCACTAGCCCCTGGATTAAACAGGGAGCCCCTCCCGGGAAACGATCCAGTCAGCAGTCTGTTTTGGTGTGGGTCAGTCTCCTCATCCAATCCACCTCAGAACTGCACAAGTGCTTCTGCTGGAACAAGGCAGGGAGCGAGATGAGCAACTGGGGACACAAAGAGAACAGGATAGCTTCATTGGTACCACTGCCAGCTCAACTATAAAAACATGGGGGAAGGGCAGGGGGAGGAGGAGCAGGTTTGATCCTGAACCTGCTGTGTCCCTTCTCTTGGAGTTCCAGCAGAAAGACTTTTCCTGGATTTGTGTCATTACACATCTAGAGCCCCCAGCACCACAAAAATGAGCTTCTAGCACAGAGGGAGAAGCCTGGGTAAGGTGACTGGACTGGGAGTTAGAAAACTCAAAGACCTTCTCTCTGATAGCTTGTATGGTGAGGGCTAAGTCAGACATTACTCCAGTGCCTCAGTGGCCTAGTACTGAAATAAGCATCCACCTAATCCACTGGGCCTTAAATAAAGCAAGGGACGTGGCCTGAAAGCTAGTGGTACTTGGGTTTTGCTCGTGTGAATCCAGAGTGGGACCTGATTCTCAGGTCACGTCCTTTCACAATACTAAAGGTTCAGCAACACCACCAAGCCATAATACAGTCAATCGGGAACACTGTTTTTAATATAGGACTTGACAAACTCTGAAACATTTTCTGTTAAGAGCACATAACAAAACTCTTCCCTTTTACAAACTACTTACTTTCTGTTTCCCCAGGAACAGTATGCTTCCCAAAGATGTACCCACTTTAGACGTGCTGGCCTTGAAGTTGCTAAAAGAAAGAAAAAATATTTTTCTTAAATTGATAAAAGGGTTTTCTGAGGAAAAGAGTTGCATTTTGTCGCCTTCTCTAATTCACAAGAGCAGCATCAAAATGCAACTCTGTAAGTACAGGAAAAGAATCTTTGGCTGGAATGTATTTATTAATACACACTTGACAAGAGGATCTCAGAAATAAATTCAAAAACTTAGAAAGTAAACAAGCTGTTTACTGTGAGTGTCACAGGACTGATTTTTCTAGTTGTGTGAAATTCAAAACAGTGAAGAAGCAGCTTTTGTTTAATACTTCCTATTCATAATGTTAAAAGTCTATGTCACACATTAAACCTTAGTCATGTTCAGAGTTTGTGCTGGATATTGTTTTCTCACTTTTACAAACCCACAGTGAGTATCATCAAGTGTACAAATGCATGTTAAAAATTATAAAACACTACAGTATCATGGAAAGCGTACAGATTCTTCAAAATCTATTATGTCACCTTTAATACACTTCATAGGTACCAGCATCTCCAGTTTGTGCCAAGCACAAGGCAGAGCTAACAACTTTTGAGACAAACATAGGCTAGTCCAGAGTGAACCATGGACATCTGTCTCAATTTGCTCTTTACTCTGGGAAAAATCTTCCCTAAGTGTCTGTGAAGCAAACCAAGAAAGTATCATTTAAAGTCTGAGAACTCATTCTTTAAATAATAGGATTTTTTGAGTGCTCTTTTACACACAAAGGAATTAAAAAAAAAAAAAAACAAAAAAAAAACCCACAAAAAAACCACAAACCTTGCAAACTGTCTATCATGACGTTGGTCTGTGGTTACAGTACTGTCCTGCTACAGATCCTACCTCGTCAGGACATACTATGTCATGTGGTGCATGACTGTGCTCCACAATTTGCTGCATGTTACTTGTCGAGAGTGCTCTCGGAGGAGTAAGCTCAAGAATATTCCACTGTCTGACCAAAGGAGGGAAGACCTGATTACAAGGCCATGTCTCACAGTATAAAACGATCAACAATGCTACTTCAGGGGTGTTTCCACAACTACCCCACTCCTCTGCCACTTACTTCTGCTCCCATACTTCAGGGATACAAACCACACAAGAAGAACAAATTCAGTTTTTAAAAAGGCCTCCCTCCAAAAGGGGAAAAAAAGGGTTTTAAGGCAGATCACTTTCCCAGTCTAGTCCACAGCATGGTCTCTGGACCATGCTTATGCTGGCATAATATCTGTATTACGTGCCACAGTCTGCAGTGCAGGACTAAAACCGGCACTGGGTATGCTACAGTTTCAGAAAAAATGGGGCCAGTGTTTCACACTATCTTTTAGTTTGGATACAGTATCAGAGGGGTTTTGTTGGTTTAATACATGTACTTGCTGGATTTTTAGCCATTTTAAGACCAGAGCATCAAGGGTTCTCATCTGTATTGCAGATGGAATTCAATTTCAGCCTGCAGAGACTGGGGTGTGCTGGCACAGTACTAGACAACGCATACTTTGATCGTTAACATCTTAAGAAAGTAGAGTTTGATACAGTAGACAACCACTGGTAGCAATCTACACTGAGTCACTGGTCTCGCCATATTTCAACACAAACCACTGCGATTCCACCAAAAACTGTATCTTAACAGGCTTGTTCCCCTCATAAAGCAGAAATTCTTCAGTAATTGGAACAGAAGACAACAGGAGAAAACTGCATGAGTTTAGGCTTCGTGCCCTACTGAGCAGATACTATATTCCATATTTGCAGAATATAGTTGGATTGACTAAAAGTTCTCCATTGCTCTTTTCCTCCATTTGTAGCCCATAAGCCACAGAGCATTTGGTGTACATGCTGGCCAACAACATGAAAACAACAGAAAAACATCCTATTAGATATAAGGAACAAATGAAAAAACAAACAGAAAAAAAAAAAAAAGCACTCCAATTTTGAAGATACAAACTGTTTTTTTAGCTCTTAGAGCTTCTTTCCCTTAAGAAAATCAGAGACTGGAACTAGTAGCTAATTAAATCTTAAAAACTGAATTAAAAAAAAAAAAAAAAAGCCTCTTGGCTTCTAATTTTTGTATTTTTATCTGACTTTTCCTCTCACAAACATGGGCCCATACACTGCAGGAGTAATGTGAGGTGGTGTTCAAACATCCCATTTATTGCATATCAATTCACCTGTTTAGAAGGTGGCAGATGCCTTTTTCCTCAAGTGATCTTTTTATCACTTATGTGGTCTACAGCGCATTGGGTCAAAACCAACGCATGAGAAAACCTTTAGTTTCATTCAGCTGCAGTTCAGGCACTCAAAGCTCATTGTACCAAATAATTCCAAAACTTGAAGGTCTGTCAGGAAACAGGCAGTACTGCAGAAAAGAGTATTATAAACCTCTCTTCTCCTTGACCTATAACTTACTCAACAACTCCCCTCTCCATCACATAGATTATCTCATCCTGTGGCAGACTCTGCCCACACTACATATCTGTTCCTGGATGTAAGATGAACTAACTGTCTCCATGAGTTTTGAGAAGTCACAGGGATATCAGACAGCTTCCTGTCTACATTTTCCCTTTACTCATGTCCTCTGACTTTAGAGAGAAGATTCAGCGAAGTGGGTTTGTATTACATTGAGTGCATTCTGCAGATGACTAACTCCATGAACTGAAATTCCTGCAGACAGAGAAAAAGTCTTCTCTCTACTCCTGAGAGAAGGTCCCTATTGCATTGAAAGTTATGTATGAAATTCTCAACATCAGTCAAAATTCCACATGGAAAGCAAATTGCAAAACTGAAATAGATCTTAGCTCACAGGGCAAGTAAAGCAATTTACATGGTGGTGCAGAAGAGAGAATGTTACTCTTATGCTATCTTGAAGATTTTTTTTGGAGACTACAGATTTAGTGGCAAATTCATTTGATGATGATGACTGCTGTCGACAGTTACTCTTTACATCTAAACAAATCGAGCTTCACTTCGTGCCTTGCATAATTAACTTTACGCTTTTGACAGACATTAAGAACTATGGTCTCCAGCACATCTACATCTAGTTCTAGTTTATGGACTCTAAATTACCTTTGAGTCAAGAGTGTGGTCCCTTTATAGAAAATTGTAGGGAACTGTAGGATAAACATAATGGAAAGCCTTTAAAGGGGTCAGGAGTTCCAGCATGGAGATCTTTCCAATTTGAGCATGAAGTTAAGAACAAGACTCTCTAAAGAAAGGAAGAGACTTTCACAGTCATTCTCAGGAGTCTTGTCACTTTGAATGTCCCCAGTAACACTGGTGATCTTAAAGTATCTGTAAACCTAGAGCCTGAAGCCAAAATCTTTATTATGTGTTGACTATCATCGTTATCAAACTGTTGTACAGGAAATAAAGTTCAGGATGCTTATGAATCCTCCCGTGCTGTGGTGAAAGGGCAAAGCTTGAATTCACATGCAGTGCTCTCTAATGTAATATAGGCTTCTGGAAAGAAATGGATAAGGTCTTATGGTATAATCCCTGGTTAATGTTGATTTTTATCCATTGATTTGATATTTTACAATCAATATTCCATAGCAGTTACTGTGTAGATTTTTAATGCATCCAGGCTGAAAACACTTGCTAAGAACTGGGGAATTCTACATTCTTTGTCTCAGACATCCTTGGAAAAAAATCCTGTATTCCAGTAACTGTCTAGCATTTGAGTTCAGTGTTGGCAAACTGGTCCCCACATGTCTTTAAGGCATATGGAAATTGATGAGCAAAGTGTCTAGTATAACTAGAAGTATAAACTGATGAAAACTGAAGCAGTTAACTGTGAGAAACTGCTAAATCAGTGCCATCAGACTCTGCTTGGAAAATAATGGAACATAAATACCACTAGGACACGAGAACTGCAGGGTGAGGACTGTGAAACCAGAGAGCAAACGTAAAAATTAAGGCAACATAAAGGATATTATTTTAATTGTTATTTTTGAAACACATGCACAAAATACAATACAACATTCCTGTCCAAATTCACTTTACGGAGACAATGACATCATGTCTCCTCCAAACTGTTCAAGGCCAAATCTTGGCACAAGCTCTTCCAATAGAATACCATGTTTGGCCCTGGCACTGTCGCCTGTCTACCCATAACCATGTGCAGAATAAGAACAGCACCGTAGCCAATGCAAATCCTAGTTATAGCTCAAGTCCCTTGGGGCAACAGAAAAAGACCAAAATAGAAAACATATTACAGTTTTAAAGCAATATTATTGCTAAGGAAAATAAAACAAATGTAACCTCAGAAGTAAGATGACATTTATTGCCTAAAAGTTAACAATTCCTGAAGCTGTGAAAGTACTCTATAAATAATACCTGAAGATGGCAGTGAAAAGATCCTGATACTGCTTTATTCATATATTTTGAATGAAAACAAAACAAACTTACATAGAAATCTGAGAGCAAGAGGACAAAAGAAGAAAATATTGTACGTTTTGAGGGTTTGCCTACATGAGTAAACACACTCAGATTACTGAAAAAAACTATTGATGATTCTATCCAGTTGTACCCATGTTTTGAGATAGTACCATGTGTGCGTAAGCTCAAGAAAGGGATATAAGCTTGCATATTCAAGGAATTGCCAGAAAATTTGTACAAAAAGATCACAGGGACACAGAGCCAGCTGGAAAAATTGGAGCAGGGGCTCCGATTTTCATGCCAGTGTTACACCTAATGCAAAGGGAATGCAGATGATGGACTGCAAGCTATATGTTATTCCTCCTGACAGCAGTATGCTTGTAGAGCTGAACAAGAACCAGGAAGTAACAACAACAAAAAAACCCAAAACAAACAAACAAACAACCCACCCCAAACCAAGCAAACAAGAAAACAAACCAAAATGACCCAGAAAAGATAGAATGTGTGCTATTGTAAATTAAAGTATTTATTGTCAGGACATTTATTACAGTCACATCAACATTTTCATGTACAAAAGGCAATCATCAAGCAGTGGATACCAAGCACTAATTTCTGTAGTCTCGTTTGGAAATTTAACTAAACTATACCCACAATCTCACCATGGCATGTACGTAGCAGAAACCACGAAATAGAAAATATCTATAAACAAACATCTCTTGAAGGTCCTATATCAGCCTTTAAAAGAATGATAATGAGAAGTTTCTGCACATGGATTTATCCAGATTAATTATCAATAAGCCTAATTAGAAAGTTGAGCTAACAAATATCTAGAAGACTTCCTTGTATTAGGGAATATATAGATAGGAGGCTTAGTAGAAAAAGGGTAAGTGGAATCTTGAGAGGATTTTCTGGTAATAAATTCAAGTTTATAAACTAATCTATGCATGATTTCCATGGGTTTTGATATCATCTTTTCCCATGAGGTGATCTCAAAACCTACGTGTTAAAAAGTCATTTTCTCTGTCTGTTACTGGTAACCCAAACTATGAACTTGAGGAGTCTGCTATCAGTGTTTTCCCCCTCCTCAGACCTATTAACATCACAAAAGCCAGAACTGTGGTCATTACTACTGCAAATTCAAACTGTAATCTTACTGTAAAAGATGTCTTCTAAAAGAAAACCAGTTTATAAATCCCAGTTAAGGTACCTTTCTGTTCCCGTGGATTCCTGCTGTGCACTCAGATTTGCACGCAGCAGAGCCTTTGACAGTAGCTGAGAGAAGCAGAGTCACAGTGTCTGTTTGTAGCACTCTCATTGTCACAGTGACCTGTTCATTGAGACGTCTCACCTCTGGAAAGGAGAAGTGAAAAGGGAAAAAATTAAAAATACAAAAATGGCAACACAAAGAAAAAAGTAGGGGTTCAGATCCCAATTTTCCACAAGTCCAGGGGCATATCCAGTACAGGGCTAAGCCTATAAAACTCTATAGCTTTTAAAACAAATCCAACAGAAAACTTCCCCTGATTAGCTGATGTCCCTACCCAGATGCAAGATAAACTAATAGTCTGACAGTAACTCTTTCTCATTTAGAACAAGCTGTTAACCTTAAGAAGGTCAAAATCTAGAATAAACCTGAACAAATGTATATCTAAGCTTCTGCCCAAGCTTCAGACTAAAGGCTATACTTTATGTTGTTGGGTCAGAGAGCAGAACCTACAGAATCACCTTCATCCCACTGAAATCCTTGGCTTCACTTCTAGCTAAATTGATAAAATTGAAAGGAAGATGTTCTGCCCTGCCTTGAGATCAGGCCCTTATATTTGAGCTGTGGATATAAAAGCTTTTTTAAAGTATACATGATTCTTAGCCAGCTATTTCATGTGCAAAAACAATTCAATCATACTATTTCATCCACTGTTGTTTGTTTCTTCCTATTCTTTCAAGTTTAGACTATCATAAAACACTCTGTAAGCTTAAAAAGAAAATCTGGGGGGTCTCTATTAAAATGAATAATGTGAGCAATGAACAGTAAAGGAAGAGATCTCTGCTGTCAGTCCACAGGTCAGTACTTTCATTCAGAATGTGACTAACTATGCACACTCATGCTACTCTGAAACACTCTCCTGTCTTTTGATGGATTTTCATCAGTGTGCTCTTTTCCACATATTTGTCAGATCAGAATGCTAGTTACCTACATTCAATACTGCCAAATTAACAAAGCAAAAATCAATGATTAAAGCCCACAAGCCACAAGATTACCAGAGTCTGCAAACTGCTAAATTTCCTTTCCGTTTTTTGGGGTTTTTTTAATACTTTGTTCTTGTCACATTGTTGTAGGAGTCCCTATGCTGTTATTCTATACTTATATTAGAATGTATATACATACACCACATGTACTTACAGAAAACTTCTGTGGCATTGCTGCTGAATGAGCTCTGCTGTCCCAGAGATCAGTGTGACCTGAACACTGCACCCACAGGGACCTCCACCGACTTCTGATATATGTATCCTCTGATAGCAGGTGTTAGACCTCTGATGGAAGAGAACTCCAAGGTTTTGGACTCTGAGTTCTGCACGTGTTGTAATCAAAAGTTTATTTCTTTGTGTGACTCAAAGTAAAAAAGATTCAGTCTCTAAGAATTTTAGAAGTCTGGGTTTAAAAATGAAAACATCAGGAAGATAAACTGTCCAAGAACTGATCCAATAGCCACTGTCTTAAAATATCCCTGGCCATACCAATACTGACTTATTACTCTTATTTTTTTATCATAGAATCACCTGGGTTGGAAAAGACCCTGAAGATCACCCAGTCCAACCATTAACCTCACCCTGACCGTTCCCAACTCCCCCAGATCCCTCAGCGCTGGGTCAGCCCGACTCTTCAACCCCTCCAGGGATCCCGGGGACTCCCCCCCCGCCCTGGGCAGCCCATTCCAAAGCCCAACAGCCCCTTCTGCACAGAAATCCTTCCTCAGAGCCAGCCTGACCCTGCCCTGGGCAGCTTGAGGCCATTCCCTCGGGGCCTGGCGCTGGGGCCTTGGCTCCAGAGACTCATCCCCCCTCTCTGCCCCCTCCTGGCAGGGAGTTGCCGAGGGCCAGGAGGTCTCCCCTCAGCCTCCTCTGCTCCAGACTGAACCCCCCAGTTCCCCCAGCCGCTCCCCAGCAGACCTGTGCTCCAGACCCTGCCCCAGCTCCGTTGCCCTTCTCTGGCCACACTCGAGTCATTCAATGGCCTTTTTGGGGTGAGGGGCCCAAAACTGAACCCCCTCAGCGAGGGGCGGCCTCCCCAGTGCCGAGCCCAGGGCTCAGATCCCTTCCCTGTCCCTGCTGGCCACGCCAGTGCTGACACAAGCCAGGATGCCACTGGCCTCTTGGCCCCCTGGGCACACTGCTGGCTCCTGTTCAGCCGCTGTCAATCACCCCCCAGGACCCTCTCTGACTGGCAGCTCTCCAGCCACTCCTCCCCAAGCCTGTAGTGCTGCTGGGGGTTGTTGTGGCCCAAGGGCAGCCCCCGGCACTTGCCCTCAGTGAAACTCCCCCAGTTGGGCTCAGCCCATGGCTCCAGCCTGGCCAGGTCTCTCTGCAGCCTCCCCACCCTCGAGCAGACCAACACTCCCACCCAACTGGGTGTCATCCGCAAACTGACTGAGGGTGCCCTCGATCCTCTCCTCTAGATCATCAATGAAGATGTTAAACAGGAGTGGCCCCAAAACCCAGCCCTGGGGGACACCACCCGTGACCGACCGCCAACTGGATTTAACTCCCTTCACCGCAACTGTTCTTGCCTGAGAGGAATGACAGGATGAGAGCCATCAGATGAGATATATTGTCTGACTGATCAAATGGCAATGTTCTGTAATGACAAACTACAGAGTAAGAGGATTTAAAACGCCTCAAAATACACTATCAACTAGTTACACACTCTATAGACTAAAATTTCTCTTTTAAACACAGGGCTGAAGCCCAAGCTTCTGGAAGAGCCAGCGGCTCCATTCAGGCCTAGCACAACCACACTCTTTCAGCTCTCTGCAGCAGGACTGGAGAAAAGTTTTGAGAAAGATGAATTTGATTCACGTCTAGTGCCTAAAAAGCATCACTCCCAGCATCAGGATCATCCTGGCACAAACCAGAACTTAAATTTCTTTCCTTGTACCAAATGCCACTATTCTCAGAGACAACTTGGGATTTGCAAGGAACACAGGATCAGTTTCCTTTCAGATACTTAATATTTAAAAGTCAATCTTGTCCTACTGAAAGAGGTGTGAGTTTTACCATTAATCTATCCAGAAGTGAGATGAAGTTGCAGACTTAGAAACCTGCACCTATTAGACTTTTTTTTTTTCCTTTAGTTTGGAATTTTATGTACAAAAAGGTCCCTTCAAAAGCAAACAAAAATGTACTTGCAATTTAAGACTCCCTAAGACCACAGAGCAGAGTAAAGGTGTCACTCCACACAGGATGTTGATAACGGTGTCCTTTAGGGTTCACAAATCTATACAAATTGTCTTTTAAACAGTAGCCAGTGTTAAATTCAAAGTTCTTATTTGTGAGTTAAAGACAGACACCACCAGCACTCAGTGATTTATGCCACCCGCTCCAGAAGCCATGAAGCTTCAGGAATTTTTTTTATTATTTTTTTTTTTCGTTAAACACCTCTTCACACACCAGTTTGAAAGTCTCATCCAACAGATATCAAGGGACACCCAGCCAGCAGTTCTCTGCTACACAGCCTCCTGTACTGAAGCCAGGATTTGCATTTTCTGTTTTGAGAAAAAGACAATTGTGAAGTAGTGGACCTAGATGTATCTTATTAACAGAAGTCTCCATGTCCAATAACCCACTTGTTGCTATTCTTAATTTTCTCTCACAGCATTTATTTGGTACAGAAGGATGATACATGATAGACTTTAAGTATCTAGACTAAAAATGAATATTAGAACATCCTATATTGTATTTTACCTGTCAGAGGTCATCAGAAGCTGTATTTCAAGAAAACTGAAGGCATTAGATGTAGTTTGCCCAGTAGATTAATACTGAGCTGTGAACTTTCATCCTCTGCAGCAAGATTTCCATCCAACTGACATAGAACTGACACGCAGTAACACTTACAACCAGGGGGATCCAATTTAGACGGAGTTCAAATGGTTTCAAGCTACTCATAGGTCACAAAGGTAAAGTATGCATAAGAGAGCTGGCTTTAATCAGAAGGTTTTCAGTAATGTCACACCAGAAGTGATAGGCCACATTGAAAATGAACTGGATGTTAGGCTTGAGAATTAAATTAACAAATATGTTTAAATATTCTGAATATATTCTTTAAGACATTTTCACAAACCCAAACCAGTTTGTTTTGGTGTTTTGTTGTTTGGTTTGGTTTTGTTTTTTTTTTTTTACAGAACAATAGAAAAAGACATGGAATTTTGCATGAGCACAAAAAAAAATTCTTTCCCATGTGGCATCATATCTGTGATGTCTATCATCGGAAGCTTTTGGGGAAGAAACTTGATGCGAAACAAAAACAAAACAGCTCCATTGTGGGTGATGGTTTGGAAATAATCTGAAAAAAGGCTCAATATTTTCTCCATAATGGAGCATTAGAACATAGGAAAATTGAAAGGGACAGGAAGGATTACAGCGAGAGAGAGGATTTAGGAAAGGCTGATTTTAATGCAGTTATCAAATGCTGACCTACTTGTGGAACAGGCAGGTGGAATCTCCGTTTAACATTTCATACTAAAGAACAATGTGAAAATGAGAGGACTCATTGAAAGACATGTCATTGAAAGACAATGTGTTATTCTCTTGAGACTTTTAAAGGCTATATTCCACCCAGAACCCCCTGAATCTGTCAGGTGTTCTTATTTCAAGTTTCCCTGAATCGGTTTGGCTGTATCCAAATCATCCCTGTGCCCTCCTTTTCATGTAGCTAGGCCGTGAGCTTTGTCTCCATGCCATTAGAGATGCCAGGAAGTAAACTGGGAAACAGCCCGGTAATACAATGGAAAGCACCATACCTTTTGTATGGTCATTCCTACTGGTTTGCACTCTGTTTAAGAACTGCTTCTCAGCAGAAATAAAAAAGCAACTCCTGTACAAAGCCTAGCAGACAAGCTATGTTGAGTTTCTGAAGATTTTCATTGAGTTTTGTTATGAAAAAGGATTATAAGTCCTTACTGCTGTGCCTGTCTACAATATCCTCTCTGCAGAAATTCAAGTCAATGCCACGAAGAGAAGGGTGAACTTGAAGTCTGTCACTAGAAATACAATGCTGGATCTCATGTCATATTACAGAAAGCATGTCTCAGCTCAGATCAGCAAAAAGCAAGGAACCTGGCAGAGTGGGATCCAGG